AAAAAAAAAAAACCAAAAAAACAAAAAACTACATAGACAGTAACATGATCAGTGGTCCCCAAGGACTGGGGGAAGGAGGGAGGGGCTAATAGGTGTAGTACAGGGACTTTTTACGGCCGTGAAATTATTCTGTGTGATGCTATTATGGTGGCTACTTGTCAAAACCCATAGCAAGTACAACATAAAGGGTGAACCCTGATGTCAACTCTGGGCTTTGGTTAATAATAATGTATCAATATTGGCTCATCAATTGTAACCAAAGTACCACCGAAATGCAAGATGTTAATGATAGCGGAAACTGTGTATGTGCGAGAGGTATATGGAAACACTCTGTACATTCTGCTCAATTTTTCTGTAAACCTAAAACTGTGCCACAAAATAAAGTCTATTCATTAAAAAAAAAATTAAAAGATAGTAGTGCATGAAGAGACCCTAGAGCGACAAGAAGAGAAAGGTCAGAAATAAACCCAAATATATACAAATATAGGTAATTTACCCAATTTAGTAAATTACAATGGTGGCGTCTTGGGTCATTGCTGGGGGAAAGGAGAGGACCCATTCAGTAAATAGTGTTGAGGTCACCAGGTAGCCATCCGGAATACAAGTTTGATACATATCTTACATGGAGAAGGAGAGGAGGAAGAGGGGGAGGGGAAGGAGGAAGCAGTAGCAGCTACCACCTCATCATGTTTCATCTTCTACGGGGCAGATATTCTCTTACCTCCATGGGGTCGATGAGCATCTGGGAAGTGGCCACAGCCAGGGAGCTGGCAAGGAGTCATTCCTGAAAGGGTGGTGACTCATGCACTCCGCAGAAGTAATTCTTACACTGGGACAGGAGAGAGGAAAATGAGAGAATAACTAACCTACCTTCCTTCCTGAAACTCATCCAGGGGAAGGGGTCTGGGACCCGGAGGATGAACATATGTCTTGGATAAGGATCTGGGCTTTGGGGGTCGTGGGTACAGGAGAGGTGAGGGCTTGAGTGTGGGGATGGGAAAAGCAGATCATCCCCCCACCTGTTCAAAGACAGAGAACTTGATGGCATACTCCGGGGCGATCTTGAGTACGTTGATACCATTGCCCCTCCATAGCAAGCAGACACCCCCACCCCCACCCCCACCCCGCCTCCTGGACCATGCTCCGTATACCTCCCAGCAAATTCATGAAATTTGTCTTGGAGGAGTAGACCTGGGGATACGGAGGCCCCTGGCCCTCTGAGGAAACCTCCACCCCATCTCCATCCCCATCCCAGCCTGGAGCTCAACCTCTCCTGTCTCCAGCTGCCCAACTCCAAACCTACCCGCTCCCATCCCCATTCCTTCTTCAATGCCTTCCTTCACTAGTCGTAGAATTCTCTAAAACGACCCAGACCCAAACCCAACACCTACTCACATTCCCATCTCATCCCTCATCTTCTCCTCCTCTCCAGTCCTATTTTGTCTTCAAAGACCCCATCCCCAGTTCTCTGATCCCCACCCCATCCTTGTCCCTGGTACCATCCTCTCAACTCCAACCCCTGTCCCCACCCCACCCTGGTACCTGTTTCCGGTTACACCCTCACCCCCATCCTGAACTCCATCAGCTCCACTTCCGCCCATCCCCATCCCAGCAGCTCCAGCGCCATGTTCCCCATGCACCTGCATGTACACCTTGGCACAGTCCAGAGGGGCCGTGCTCGGGTGAGACACCACCCCAGCCATGGCTCCCGAGAGGAGAAACTTCCACAAGGCTCCCTGATTATCTACCTCCACGATAGCCATGGGGACCATCAGCCGCTCTCCAGTGTCCAGCACCTGCAGGACAGACCCGGCTCCCACCCCCACTCAGCCAGGCTGGAGCTCCTTCCCCAGACACATCTCCAGAACCCCCTCCCAGTCCAAGGCCTACCCGGTCCCCACTGCTTCAAGGTGGCATTCCATCCAGGTCTGCTGGAAGAGGAGCGGGCCATGCAGGGGTGTGGGCAGCGTAGCCTTCTCCCCCTGCAGTCCTGGCTGGAGGTTCTGGGAGGCCCATGGTGCCCAAACTCCGCTGCTGTGTTGGGAGATACTCCAGTTTGCTTTCAGGCACGTGCCCAAACACGTACCCATATACATGGGTGCAGCCCAGTTTCAAGGAGGGGGGTGAGTTTTGGTGAGTAAGGACTTGACCCTCTTAAACAGGGTCTGGACCCTCGAGCAAGCCTTCTGACCTTCCTCAGGTTGGGCTCCCATGGCAGCTGGAGGGTCAGGACACTTAGGTTCAAACGCCTGGTGAGAAGTTTGCCCATCCAGCAACCATGTGGGAGGGACGCCTTGTAAATTTGGGTCCCAGGGGATGATGAGGTTACAAAGGCCCTTGTGAGCTCACTGCATATGAGAGGGAGGGAGTGTCTCCCTGCCCACGAAAGGTCCACATCCCAACCCCTCTAAACATGTGAACGTGTGACATTACATGGCAAGGGGGAGGGGGTGGATTAAATTTGCAGGTAGAATTCAGGCTCGGAATCAGCTGATGGGGAGATGGAAAGGTTGTTCTGGATTAACCACAGGGGCTCAATGTAACCTCACGAGTCCTTCAACAGGGAAGAGGGAGGCAGAACCATCAGTGTTAGAGGGCCTGGTTGTGAGAAAGATTCCACTGGCCACTGCTGGCTTTGAGGATGGAGGAGGGGGCCACGAGCCATGGAATGCAGGTGGCCTTTAGAAGCTGGAAAAGACCAGTTAGCAGATTCTCCCCTGGAGCTTCCAGAAGGAGCCAGCCCTGCTGACAGCTAGATTGTAGCCCAGTGAGATCCGTGTCAGGCTTCTGACCTCCACAATAATATTTTAAGCCACCAAGTTTGTGGTCCTTTGTTACAACAGCCATAGGAAACTAACAAACTATGTATCGTTGTCATGGCAAGAGGAGGTGGAAGTGGGGGAGAATGGGAAGGCTCTGGAGCTCTGGGAGAGAGAGACACAGTTAGTCCCCGAAGTAAGACAGGCATAGGTTTGGAGTCAGATGGACCTGAGTTTGAATCCTATCTCAGACACTTCTTGCTGTGTGACCTTGGGGTACCTGTTTTTTTTTAAAGAATCATCTTTTTTTTTTTTAAATTTATTTATCTTTGGCTCCGTTGGGTCTTTGTTGCTGCGCGCGGACTTTCTCTAGTTGCGGGGAGCGGGGGCTACTCTTTGTTGCGGTGTGCGGGCTTTTCATTGCGGCGGCTTCTCTTGTTGCGGAGCACGGGCTCTAGGGCGCGCAGGCTTCAGTAGTTGTGGCTCGCGTGCTCTAGAGCGCAGGCTCAGTAGTTGTGGCGCACGGGCTTAGTTGCTCCGTGGCATGTGAGATCTTCCCGGACCAGGGCTCGAACCCGTGTCCCCCGCATTGGCAGGCGGATTCTTAACCACTGCGCCACCAGGGAAGTCCCGGGGTACCTGCTTTACTTCTCTGAGCTTCAGTTTCCCCAGCTGGAAATTGGAAGTAATGAGTAACTCTACCAAATAGCGTTGTCATAGGATCCAATGAGAGTCTTTGTTGGGAGCATCTCCATCCTCAAAGTTGTTTGATCAAAACCCTTGAGGTCATCCTTGATTCCTCCCTTTCTCTCTTACACACAGTCTGTCACTAAATCCTGTGGGCTTAACCTTCAAAGTATATCCAGAACTTGGCTGCTTCTTACCATGTACGTGGCCACCACCTTGGTCCAGCCCCATCGTCGCTCACATGGATCAGTGCAGTGGCCATCACCCAAGTTCCCCCCAGCTCCTGCCCTCGCCCTTCACAGTCTGTCCTCCCCTCAGCAGCCATCAGAGGGCGCCTGTGAGCACCTGAGTCAGGTCCCGCCCTTCTCTGCCCACAGCCCTGTAGGCTCCACCTCCCGTGGGTAAAAGCCCCAGTTCTCCCCTTGGCCCAGAAGGCCCTGCGGGACCTGCCCTGTCCTCTCTCTGTCCTCACCTCCTCCTTCTCTCCCCATCACTCACGCTGGCCTCATGGGCCTCCTTGTTGTTCCTCCAACACACCCAGGCATGGTACTACCCCAGGACCTTTACACTGGCTGTTTACTCTGTCTTACGTGCTGTTTCCCTAGACATCCCCATGACTCCTTTTTTTATTTTTTATTTTTGGCCATGCTGCGTGAGTTGTGGGATCTTAGTTCCCCAACAAGGGATGGAACCCAGGCCATGGCAGTGAAGGCACCAAGTCCTAACCACTGGACCACCAGGGAATTCCCAAATCTTTTTTTTTTTAAACCATCTTTAAATCTTTCTTCAAGCATCACCTTCTCCCTGACGCCTTCTCTGACCACCCTACTTAAAATTTAAACTCAATCCTGCAGTATTTCTCATCCCCCTTCCCTTCTTTGTTTTTCTCTGTAACACTTTGACTATCTACACTGCTACATATTCACTCACTTGTGTTACTTCTTCATCTCTCCCCACTGGAATGTAGGGTCTATGAGAGCAGAGATCTTTGTTTGTTTCATTCACTTCTGCATCCCATGTCCAGAACTGGATCTGGCATAAAGTAAGTGTTCAGCACATATCTACATTAAGGGGGGCTTAGCACAGAGTGAGGGTACATAGTACTTGCTTAATAAATGTAAGTTCTTTTCTCTTTAAAGATGTCAGTGGACATCTTTAAAGTGTGGGTGGGGAAACTGAGGCTTAGAAAGGGGAAAGCAGCCTGTCTGATGTCACACTGCATGTCAGCAGAGCCTCCTAAATCCCAAACACAGTGTAACGGTTTAAAAGAACGTGGACAATGTATAACAGCAACTAACATAATGTTTAGGTCAACTACACTGCAAAAACAAACAAATGCATAGAAAAAGAGATCAGATTCTTGGTTACCAGAGGCAGGGAGTGGGAAGAGTGGGAATTGGATGAACGTGGTCAAAAGGTACAAACTTCCAATTATAAGATAAATAAGTATGAAGGATGTAATGTACACATGATAAATATAGTTAACACAGCTGTATGCTGTATATGAAAGAGAGTAAATCCTGAGTTCTCAAGAAACATTTTTTTCTATTTCTTTAATTTTTAATGAGATAATTTTTAATATGAGATGATGGATATTCACTAAACTTATTGTGATAATCAATTCATTATGCGTGTAAATCAAATCATTATGTTGTACACCTTAAACTTTTACAGTGCTGTATGTCAATTATATCTCAACAAAACTGGAAGAAAAAAAAGAGTGTGGACAAGAAAATGAATGTTAACAGGCACAATTAAATAAAATGAAGTGGTAATACTCAGTGCTGGCATGGCTGCATTAAAACTGGTAATGCTAATTCCTTGTTGGTGGCTGTGTATATTGCATACAATTTTTCCAGTGACATGACCCTGAGATAGTCATATCCTTTGACCCAGAAATCCCACTTCTGGGCATTGATCATTAATTCAAAGGAAGTAAAAATACAAAATAGTTAGCAAGGCTTGATCCCTTATCTGGGTGTGTGAAAAATCATATCTCTATATGTGTATATGTATCAGTTAGCTACTGCTGCATAACAAATAACCCCCCTCCCCAAACATAGCAGCTTAAGACATGAACAAGATGGTAGCTTCAATGTTTTTTTTTCTTTTCTTTTTTTTTTTTTTGCGGTACGTGGGCCTCTCACTGTTGTGGCCTCTCCCGTTGCGGAGCACAGGCTCCGGATGCGGAGGCTCAGCAGCCATGGCTCACGGGCCTAGCCGCTCCGCAGCGTGTGGGATCTTCCCGGACCTGGGCACGAACCCGTGTACCCTGCATCGGCAGGCAGACTCTCAACCACTGCGCCACCAGGGAAGCCCTCAATGTCTTTTATAACCTAATTCTGGAAGTAATATACCATCACTTCTGCTGTATTCCCTTGGTCATACAGACCTGCCTTGGTACAATGACAGAGGAGATTGCACAAGAATGTGAACACCAAGAGTCAAAGATCATAGGGGGACATCTTAGAGAATGACTCTCACAGTCCACATAGGAAAAAGTTTGATCACGTGAAGACAGGCAGAAATTGGAGTGATGGGTCTAACATCCAAGAACACCAAGGGGTGCGGGCAGCCACCAGAAGTTAGGAACAGGCACGAACAGATCCTTGCCTGGAGTCTTCAGAGGGAAAATGGCCCTGCCAACACCTTGGTTTTTGACTTCAACCCCCCATAACTGTTAGAGAATAAATTTCTGTTGTCTTTCATTTATGATAGCCAAAAGGTGGAAACAACCCCAGTGTCCATCAACAGATGCATGGATAAACAAAATACGGTCCCTCCATAAAATAGAATATTATTCAGCCTTAAAAATGAAGGAGATTCTGACACCTGCTACAACATGGAGGAAACTTGGGGACATGATGCTCAGTGAAATAAACCAGACACAAAAGGGTAAATACTGCATGATTCCAGTTCTAAGAGGTCCCTTGAGGAGTCACATCCATAGCGACAGCAGGTAGATGGTGGGGGCTAGGGGCTGGGGGAGGGGATGGGGAGTCAGTGTTTAATGGGGCAGAGTTTCAGTTTGGGGAGACGAGAAAGTCCTGGAGGTGGATGGTGGGGATGGTTGTACGACAATGTGAATAGACTTAATGCCACAAAACTGTACACTTAAAATTGGTTAAAATGGTAAATCTTATGTAACGTGTATTTTACCACAATAGAAAAATATTTTTAAAAATTTTGTTGTTTTAAGCCCCTTGTTTGTGGTAACTTTTTAAGCAGCCCAAGGAAAAGGACACACTTGTGTAATTACAAAAAATACAGGAAAAATTAGGAGTGCTCTTGAATGTGGACCTTCCCCCACACCCACTTTACAGATGTGGAAACTGAGGCTCACGGAGTCATTTCCTGGTCTCCCGCAACAATGTATGATGGAAGTCGGCCCATGTCCCTTCCCTGTGGGCGGTATGAGGTGGTCCCACATCCACCCACCCCCTTTCAGTAAAAAACACAATGAAAGAGCTTAGAAAATGTATTCCTTTGTTCTTTTCCTTTGAAATAACACACACAGGCAGGGAGGTGGGGAGTGGTGTAGGTGGGGGAGGTGGAAGCATTGTGGGGGGTCATCCTGTCACCCCAAAATCCAAGTTCTTCTTTTACAGTCCTTTAATGGGGTTCCCCAAGGACTTGGAAGGAATGGAGAGAGGGGTCCCCCAATAAGCCTAAGCTCAGAATCCAAATATAAAGTGCAGAATATACAGGGTGGGGGTACTGGGAATTAGGGCGGATGGAATGTCTGCTCCTCTCCGGTAGAAAAATAGACCTGGAATGAATTTGGGGGGCTGGGGAGTTTGGGGTTTGTTTTGCATCCTTGGATGCTTGGGTTTAGGGAAGCTGCTTCTGGCTTCCAACTCTGAAGTCTGGGGAGGGGCTGGCAGTGCTGGGAGATGTGTGCGGCCCCCTTAATGTGTCCCCAGCCTTGGATTGCCTCCTTGCCAGCCCCTAAGAAAGAGCGACTGGGTCCTCCAAAGGGACCCAGGCTCTGGGGGTTGTTATCAGCCTAGACAGTGGGAAGGGGGTGTGAGACATGGCCCTGCTGGGGGAGTATTTGAGAGAGAAGTTTCCCTGCAGTCCAGGCTTTGCTGGGGAGGTAGGGGGTCCAGTGTCTGTGCAGGGCCTGGGAGAGGCATCTCCTCCCCTTGCGGCTGGCATGAGACGTGTCAGGACAGTGGACAAGTCCCATGGGTTTTCAAGCCGGGAGGCCAGGACCTGGGTTTCCTGGAGGCTCCGTAGACTATGTGGTTTGTGCCATGGGGGGAGAGGTCTCCGGGCTCTGGTGTGTGTCTGGGACGGGGGCGCGTGGGATCCAGGACACTGACTGGCCTATTGGGAGCTAGACTGGGGGGGGGGGGGGGGGGTTCCAGATCTAGTGCTTGGGAGGACTTGGGTCAGAAACCAGGAGTTAAGGGGTTGGCATCCAGTGCCTGGAGGTGGTAGGGTCTGCCTCTTATGGATGAGGTTTTAGTACCCAGTGCCTGCAGTGAAGGGATTTGGGGTCCAACAGCTGTAGTCGCCAGCACCCGCTCCTCTGCCATTGGGCTCTCGCAACTGTGGTCTGAGGAGTGAGGATCTGGTGGGTCAGGGCTTGGAAAGCTGGGATCCGGTGGTTGAGGGTATAATGGTTGAAATGTGGGGATCCGGGAGTCGAAGCAGAGGGATCCAGGACCCAGGGTCGAGGTAAAGGGATTCAGGAATCCAGTGGCTGGATGGAGGGGGTCTGAGATCCAGCGGTTGGGGCCCCGGGACCTAGGCATTGCACTGTCAGGATCCGGTGCGCTGAGGTTTCTTGATATCCAGAATCCAGTGGCCAAGCTTGGAGATCCAGGACTTGAAGCATGGGGATCTAGGATCTGCCAGTGGATCTAGGATCCAGTACTGCCTGAGGACACTGGATCTGGTGCCTGAGGCAGCTGGGGTCTGGGAGTTTAGATACATGGTATGTGCTGCTGTGGTCGGGGTATCAGGATCCATTAGCTGGGTTGCGGGGGATCCAGTGGTTACGACGTGGAGGTCCAGGACTCAGTACGTGTTGGGGGAGAGGGAAACGTGGGATCCAGTGGCTGGGATGTGGGGATGCAGGACCCAGTGGATGAAGTGTGGGGATCCTGTGGTCTGAATGCGTGGGGAGGGGGACCTGGGATCCATTGGCTGGGCCCTCGGTCTCCAGTGGCCGAGGTGTGGGGGATGTCACGATGGAGGTGAGGGATCTGGGGGAGGGGTGGGCTCTGGGTCCCTCACCTGGACGTGACCCCCAGGGCCTGCTTCATGTTCTCGTAGACCACGTAGGAGATGCTCACGGCTGGGATAACCTTCATGAAGTTGGGGGCAATGCCCCGGTAGAGGCCCCGCACGCCCTCCTGGGACAGGATGTGACGGAGCAGACCCAGCATGGACAGCTGGGGGGCTCCCTCGACGGAGGCTGGTAGGGGGTGGGGAGGCCAGGTAAGGCCAAAGGTCCCCCTCTCGCTTCCCCCTCCCCCCTCCCCCCCAGGGCTGGGCCAGGCGGCAACTGCAGCAGGAGGGAGGAAGGCTAGACTAACAGTGGGACCTACCACTCAGAGTCGGGGCTTCTACTGGCCTTGGAATTGGCTGCTCATCTCTTCACCCCAATCTGGAGGCCCCAAGTTTGGGGATGACTAGAAACAGAGCAGCTATGTGTGGAGGGGGAGGTGGAAGAGGGCACAGAAATTTCCTCTTCCTGGAGCTCAATTCCTTCTCCCTTTTCCCAGCTAACTCTTACTCAACCTTCCAACCTCCATTCCAAACCAGCTCTTCAGGGGAGCCCTCCTTGGCACCCCAGTCTAAGTCCAGCTTTTCCTTCTCCCCTTTATTCAACCCTAAATCCATACTTCATTGTGGAATGATTTATTCACCATATTCCTTCCTCTCCAGCTTGGGAGCTCTTTGAGGGTGGAGGACCACATCTGTCTTATGCACGGATGACCCCCGGCAAAAACCACAAAACACAAATGCTAAAATCCCCGAGGAAATTCTCAAAAAAGATTCAGGGATAGTAGCGGGAAAAGAAAAGAAAAAAGAACCTCAAAAGAGCAATACAGAGAAATACAGTAAAACAATCGTAGCCTGGCCCTGCTCCTCCTTTTGACCTCACTATATCCCAGCCTTGCAAATTAGAACCCAAGTTACCAGCTGGGAAAGCTGCCTCCCAGCTGAGATGGCTAGGATGCTCTTCCGGCACTGGCTGTTATCTGTTCTCCTACTTATGGTAAAGGGCTCCCATCCCAATGTCACAAAAGGGTAAACTGAGGCCCAGAGAAAAGTAGGGACTTTAGTCAAGGCCATCAAAATCCAGGAGGATCCCAGCCCAGGACCCTGCCTTCTCACGGGAAGGAGCTGGGGATGGGAAGGTGGACCCAAGTCGTGAGACCTTCCCTACCTCCTCCTCCCACCCAGGCCTCACCTTGGGCCTGCATGCGGGTCCGGACCAGGGCCAGGGGGTAACTGGCTATCTGGCCACACGTGCTGGAAATGGTGCCGCAGGCCAGGAGCACGAGGATGCCCGGGTCGGCCGAGTCGTGGCTATACTGCTGGAGCCACCGGTTCTTCAGGGTCTGGCAGGGGTGGAAAAGGGAGGAGGGTGGGTTGGAGGTGGGTGACACCAGGACCCTGGCTTCAGCGGTCCTGCTGGCTGGCTTCTGTATCCCGTGATGGCTGGTGTTAGCCAAGCATTTTACCTGCATGCTCTCACTCAAACCTCACCTAAACCCTCTCTGGTATGTGGAATAACAGCCCCCCCTACTGTTCCTGCCTTAATCCCTGGAATCTATGAATATGGTACCTTCCGTGGCAAAAGGGACTTTGCAGATGGGATTAAGGATCTGGAGACGGGAGATTATCCCAGGATATCCAGGGGGGTCCAGTGTCATCACAAGTCTCCTTGTAAGAGTCAGAGAAGGAGATGTGATGACAGAAACAGAGATCAGAGAGAGACAGAGAGAGAGATCTTGGGGAGGTGGGATGGAGATGCTGTGCTGTTGGCCTTGAAGATGGAGAAGGGGCCATTAGCCAAGGAACATGGGCACCGCTAGAAACTGGAAAATGTAAGGAAACGGATTCTCCCATAGAGCCTCCAAAAGGAAAGCAGCCTGCTGACACCGTGATTTTAGCCCAGTAAGATGCATTTTGGATTTCTGACCTTCATAACTGTGAGATAATAAGTTTGTGATGTTTTAAACCACAGTTTGTGCTCATTTGTTACAGCAGCCATTGGAAACTCATACAGTCTCCAAGGTGGCCACCCTGCCCCTTATCCCTTACCACTTCAGCTCAAACCTGCCGACTCCAATGGCCAAGCATCCATGGCTCAGCCTGAGGATTTTATCTGGTCCCAGGCAAGGCTGCTCTGAGCACATAGGAACAGGTGGGCAGTGCTGGGAAGTTAGCACCCCCAGAAGCAACCTTCAAATGATGACTGACTTGGTGTATCAATACCCCAGCTCCCTTGCCTCTCTGATGGGGGAATGTTCTACACTTTCTCCCGGAGGTCCCCACCAGGACTGAGCTCCACCTGTCTGCTGTGGTATCTTGCTTGACAATGCACTGTTATGGGTTTAAATGAATCCCCCACCAAAAAAAAAAAAAAAGATGTGTTGGGGTCTTAACCTTAGAATATGACCTTATTTGGAAATAGGGTCTTTGCAGACATAATGAATTAAGATGAGGTCATACTGGAATAGGGTGGGCCCTTAACCCAATATGATTGGGGTCCGTAGAAGAAGAGGAGAAGAAGAAAAAGGACCCATAGGGGAGAAGACAGTCATGGCAAGAGAGGCAGAGACTGGAGTGATGCGTCCACAAGCCAAGGAATGCCAAGGACTGCTGGCAAAGGCCAGAAGCTGGGAAGAGGCAAGGAAGGATACCCCCTACAGATTTCAGAGGAAGCATGGCCCTGTTGACACCTTGATTTTGGACTTCTAACCTCCAGAACTGTGACAATAAATTTCTGTTGTTTTAAGTCACCCAGCTTGTGGCACTTTGTGAGGGCAGCCCTAGGAAACTAATACTAAAGCATGATACTTTTTGGTTGCCTTCCCTTCCCTGTCTTACTACTTCCCCCCAAAACCACTTGCCCCCCCATCCCTGCTTCTGGAAGACCTCCAACTAAGACAAGTACCACTACAATTCCCATTTTATTGATGAGAAACTGAGGCTCAACAGAAGTTACTTGCCCAAAGCCACAAGATAAAGGTGACAATCAACATTCAGAGCCACCCCCAAGTCCAGAGCTGTGCCCTTGGCCAATCCCTTCTGAAGCCTTCTGTGAGGCCTCTGTAAATCCAGGATCTTCTTTTTGGCCTTGGGACTGGAATTGCTCATAGGTTTCATTTCCTAAGTCAATTCCAGTGCATTGGTAATGGCTGCCTGGAACTGTGTTGAGAGGGACTCAGTGCTGTGATGGATTGGTGATGTCTGGCCTGGGCATGGAAGGGGCAAATGAGAATCGTTTACCATTACTGCCTTTGCAATTTTAATAGCCGCCTTTTGGGGCTGGAGCTGCATTTGCCAAATAGGTGTTTTTAAGAGCAGTTCTGTTAAAAAGAGGTTCTGATGACTGGAAAAGTATGGCTAACACTGGGCTTAAAAAAAAAAGGGTAAATCACTTTTCTGCAGGACTTCTCAGAGCCTTTAAGGGGCTAATTTAGATCTTGAAATGCCAAGAGGGCACAGGGCTTTTCAAACTTCTTAGACCTCTGAAATCCCTTTTGGGGTGAAGAATGAATGAACTAAGGCTGCAGAATAAGGTCTTATTTCTGCTCATGACTCTGAATGGCTCCCTATCACATTTAGGAGAAACCCAAACTCATGATCAATTGAGTCCTTGCTGACTCTTCAGCTCCCTCCAGCCACTCAAGACTTCCACTCCTCAACAACAAAGCAATCTCATCAAAAAATGGGCAGAAGACCTAAACAGACATTTCTCCAAAGAAGACATTTAAGATGGTCCACAGGCATGTAAAAAGATGCTCAGTGTCGCTAATTATTAGAGAAATGTAAATCAAAACTGTAATGAGGTATCACCTCACACTGGTCAGGATGGCCATCATTAAAAAGTCTACAAATAATAAATGCTGGAGAGGGTGTGGAGTAAAGGGAACCCCCCTACACTGTTGGTGGGAATGTAAATTGGTGCAGCCACTATGGAAAACAGTACGGAGGTTCCTTAAAAAACTAAAAATAGAGTTGCCATATGATCCAGCAATCCCATTCCTGGGCATATATCTGGATAAAACTATGATTCGAAAAGATACATGCACCCTTATGTTCATAGCAGCACTATTTACAATAGGCAAGACATGGAAACAACCTAAATGTTCATTGCCAGATGAATGGATAAAGAAGATGTGGTACATATATACAGTGGAATATTACTCAGCCATAAAAAAGCATGAAACGTTGCCACTTGCAGCAACATGGATGCAACTAGAATTATCATACTAAGTGAAGTAATTCAGAGAAAGACAAATACCGTAAGATATAGCACTTATATGTGGACTCTAAAAGATGGTACAAATGAACTTATCTACAAAACAGAAACAGACTCACAGACATAGAGAACAGACTTACGGTTACCAAAGGGGAAAGGTCGGGGTGGGGAGGGATAAATTGGGAGTTTGGGATCAGCTGATATATACCACTATATATAAGATAGATAAACAACAAGGTCCTACTGTATAGCACAGGAACTATACTCAATGTCTTGTAATTAACCATAATGGAAAAAAAAAAAAAAGACTTCCACTCCTCCAATAGGCCATATTCATTCCTGCTTCTGGACCTTGGCATTGGCTGTGCCCTTGTTCACACTCCCTCCTGATATATATTCAACTCATCACTCCAACACCGCCTCTCAGAGACATTCCTAGACACGCCCCCCTCCTGCCCATGGCTACTTTCGATTGCACGTCTTGTTTATTATCTTCTGAGAACACTTCAGGATCTGCAATTACTTACTTGCTGGTTGACTTGACTTCTTTGTTCATTGGAGGGGTGTCCCGGGAGGACAAGAATTATGTTGCACTCCCTGAATGCAGCAGCCAGCACAGTACCCAGAACACATGGATGCTGAGGACACGGTTGCTAAGTGAACGGGTGAATGAGTGAATGCATGAATAAATGAACGAACGAATGAATGAAGCCTTGTCTCACTTGGCTCCGTAGACACTGGGTGCTGGTAGGGCAGGTACGGGTGGCAGGTACCGGGGATCTTAGATCAGGACCAGCTACGTGATTTGCAGGGTCCAGTGCGAAATAAAAATATGTGAGGTCCCTTGTTCAAAGATTATTAAGAATTTCAAGAGGGTGACAGCAAAGCATTCAACCAAGTGTGGAGCCCTTCTGAGTTGGTGACTCTACAGGTTGCCTACCCATGAAGCTGGGCTGGATACAACGACTCGGGGTGGGGGGATGCCTGGGAACTTCAGAGGCTGTGCTAATTGGGAGAACCTGGTGATCCCACCAGGAGAAGGGAAAGGCAATGGATGAGGTCCCTGGAAGAGAAACAGCAAAAACTCCCAGTTCCTGCTTCTCCTGATAAAGGCCCCGAGACGCTGGTCATGGGGTATGGATTTTATGGTGGCGGCAATGACCGAAATGGCCTTGAAGACGATATTGGCCTGGAGATGGAGGCGCGTCTGACCCACGTTTTGGGGGGGATGGGCATCTTTGAAGCTCATCTTCGCCTGCTCCCACGTTTCTGTGGGAGCTAGAGTGGTCCCCGACTTTCACATGTCCTGAGACCCGGGAAGGCCAAAGTACAGATGGAAGGTTCTTGCGGTGGGAAGCGCAAGAGTGGCGGGGCAGGTGGGGAGGTCCAATGCCTGAAGGAGTTCCCCAGAATCCCAGGGCCCACAGTGCTTTGCTTCTCCACCCCTAGCTATGGAGGTCAACTGAGCCAGCCCCACAGGAAGGGCAGATCCCAGAGAAGGGAGGACCACAGACCTCGTAGACGGCCAGGTCGATGCCTGCGTAGGGGATGATGCCCAGCACGTTGGGCAGGTAGCCGCGGTAGAAGGCTCGGGGCCCTTCTCGCTCCAGGATCCGCCACGCACAGTCCAGCAGCCCCTTATACTGGCCCGTCCGGCGAAGGGTCAGCCGTGTCTTCAGTACCTGGGGAGAAGCCGGTTATCCCTGGAAAAGCTGCCTTCGGAATCACTACATCCAGGAATGAAGACACTTCGAAATTGTACCTCCTAGATGGAGATACCCTGAGAATAACTGAATTAAAAGAACCACTTGTGGGACTTCCCTGGTGGTCCAGTAGCTGGGACCCTGCACTTCCCTTGCAGGGGGCATGGGTTCAATCACTGGTCAGGGAATTAAGATCCTGCATGCTGCTTGGTGTGGCCAAATAAATAATAAATAAATAAAAATATAAATAAATAGAAGAACCACTTGCTCTAGAATCTTCTTCTACCCCCAAACTCTATACCTACAAACTGGTTACGCCTATCAGACTTGCACGTGGCACCCACTGTTGTCTCCCAATATCTTGTTACTTTCTCCCTTATCTATAGAAACTGCTCTTTTCAGCAAGAATACAGCCTCTAGAAATAAAGACTACATTTCTCAGTTTCCCTAGGCGTGTAGCCATGTGCCTGAGTCCTAGCTGACGAAACAGATGGTGAAGAGGTATGCAAGGCTGTCAGAAAGCATCCTTAAAGGCAGGGAGGTGTTCCTTCCTCTGTTCCTCCTTCGTGGCTGGAGCATGGATGCTGTGACTGGAGCACAAGCAGTCATTTTAGTCCATGAGGTGGGTGCCACATGCTGAGGTGGTAGAACAAGATAGAGGGAAGGAACCTGGGTCTCTTAACACTCTGAAGCCACCAGACCATCCCTGAACTGCTCACCTCCGGACTTCATTTATGTGATTTGAGTTTTCCGTCACTCAGAATCCTAAGTGATGCCTGGCACAATCTGAAACTTGAAATGATTTCTCCAAAAGTGGTTTCACCTAGAAATGATTCCCTTGGGGACAAGCATCCTGGAAACCAGTATCCTTAGATGAGTCGTATCCATAAAGGGCTGCACCCCACAACTGTTATTTAAACAGCTAAACCAACACTACTGTGATACCCAGACCAGCTACACATGAAAGACCATTGCTCTAATGAGCTACAGTCTGAATCAAGAAGAAGCAAAGTTATAATCCCAATGCTTATCCCACCTTGGAGTGAAATGGTTATTGCAGGCCCGCCCCCAGCCCTGCAATGGAGCCTCTGCTGGGGCCCCTCCTTCTCACCTCCATGGGGTAAATGATGGTTTGGGCTGTGGCACCAGCCAGGGAGCCAGCCACAAAGCGCTCCTGCACATGCAGTGTCTCCTGCTGCCCCCAGATGGCCCGCTTGATCTGAGAGGGAGACACAGAGGTGGCGGGACCTCAGGGGTTGGGCCTTCAGTGCACCTGGACCTTCCCTCTGCTGTCCTCCTCCTGGGCGCATCCCGAAGGGGAGCAGATGCCCACTCCTGGGGACCTGCAGACATTCCCCACCCCCAGGCCAATCCTGCAAAGCCTCCTGTTTGTAGCCCACGCCTCCCCCTGCCTGCCCCCACCTGCTCATAGGCCATGAACTTGATTGCCGACTCAGGTGCAATCTTGAGCACGTTAATCCCGTTGCCACGCCACAGGGAGCGCACGCCCCCCTCTTGGATCATGCTCCGTAGGCCTCCCAGGATGTTCAGTCGGTTGGTCTTGGAGGCGTGGACCTGGGTGGGAAGACCAGGTGGCTCTGGGGACCCCTCCAGGGGTCCAGGCCTAGGGAAGGGGGTGGGTCTCTCCAGGGCCCCTCACCTGCATGAAGACCTTGAGGCGGTCCAGGGGGGCCGTGCCCGTCCGGGACACGGCACCCGCCATCGCACCCGCCACCAGCTGTTTCCACCACATGCCAGTCAGCTTCTCCTGCTCCGAGAACTCATCCGGGACAGTCAGGCACTCGCCAATGTCCAGGACCTGGGGATGCAGAGGCTGGGGGTGTCATGCCCCAGTGGGGCTGGGGGGATGCAACTCTGCCCTAAACTGGGGCGTCTCCCCCATGAATCCCAGGGTACCCAGCAATGAATCCCAGTCCACCAGTGAATCTCACTTGGAGAGCCCGAGATCTCTCTTGGACCCTTACCAGATCCAGCCCTGCAGTCTCCACAAAAGATAATAACATCCTTCCTGGGGATCTCCACCAAATCCCATCAAAGCATCCTATTCAAGTCTCTACCCCACAGGGGACTTCCCTGGTGGTCCAGTGGTTAAGACTCCACGCTTCCACTGCAGGGGGCCCGGGTTCGATCCCTGATCAGGGAACTAAGATCCTGCATGCCGTGCAGCACGGCCAAAAAAACAAAACAAAACAACAAAAAAAACCCCAAACAACAACGACAAAACAAACAAGCCCCTGACCCATAAAGATCCCTCCAGAGCCAATCAGATCCCTCCAAAGGATCCCACCCAAGGGTCTCCCACGTAAGAATTCCAGAAGATACCTCCAGGGCCACACAAGATCCTACCAGGGACTTCCTATATATGGAGCCCAGCAGATCCCTCCTGGGGGTCTCACCAGATCCCCAGGGGTCTCCCCCACAGAGATCATCCCCCCTCTAGCATCCTTCACCTGCAGACTTCTTAACCAAGCCCCTCATGGGTCCCCCAGGGTGGGAATCTCTGGATCTCCCAAGAGGATCCCAGCAGGTCGCATGGATGGACCCCTCCAGATGCCATCAGATCCTACCAGATGCATCACTCAAGGATTCCCACCCCGGAAATGGCAATCCAGAGCGCTTCCTCCCTCCCAAGTTCCAGTAGATCCCGTGAGACCCTCTGAAGACAGTGGCTTCCTAACTTGTCTTTTCAGCAGCAGAATCCTTTATTGAGGGGAATAGAAACCAGCAGAAAGAGAGCCAAGTGGTTGAGGGTGGGAGACCAGATGCCCCATCTGGTGAGCCCTTTCTTCCCTGAACCCCCAGAGGCCCCACAGTAAGTCTGAAGGGTCCCCATGAGCTGGCAGAGACCTCCCCAAATGGGTCCCGGGAGCCCCAGATGGAGGAAGAGGAGAGCAGAGCCTCATCCCTCGGCTGCTCCCAGTGGGCTCCTCCTTCTAGAGTCCTGAGCCAGCCCCTCCCCCCATGCCCTGGTGAAGAGGGCCCGACCACCAGGCTGGGACAGCCGCCCCCCACCTCACCGTGGAATGCTTCCAGAAATACAGCACATCTTCCACATTCTCCAGCGAGTGCAACAGGAAGTGGTCACGCCATTCCTGCCAGTCAATGGTCATGGTGTCATCACGGTCCATGCTGCGGGGGGAGGGGTACAGGTGGGACAGAATCAGTGCCTGGGTCCAGGGGTGAGTTGAGTGAGGTTCTTGTGGATTTGGGGGGGGTAGACTGAGCTCCTTGGCACTGGGAGCTCCCCATTTTACAGAGGGGGAAACTGAGGTTCAGAGAGGGGAAGCAACTGGGCCAAGATCTCAGCTCCACTGCCTTGGGATTGGATCTGAGGCTCAGAGGCTCAAGGTGGCTGAGGGGTCTTGGGGACCTGAGTTACCTGGGATTCTGGACACCCCGCTACTCACCTGTGCAGGATTTTCTCTGCCTGCTCCAGCGAGATGGAAATGCCCAGAGCTCGGAAACTCTGCTGGATCTCAGAGACGTCGATATGACCTGGGGAGGGGGCCCGAGGTGGGGAAGTGTGTGTGTAGGGACTCCAAGATGGAGGACCAGGACAGCTTGGAATGGGGATATTGAAGAAGACCAGAGGATCCAGGAACCCAAGGTGAGGTTTGTGGCGGGATGGGGGGGGTCCTTGACCCACTGGGATCAGAGGGGTAGAACTGGGCCATATTGGGGGGGGTCTTCTGTTTGATGAATGAATGAAGGATTGAATCCAGGGATAATTATGGGGGTCCCTATGCCACAGGGGGTTGAGAGGCAATATTGGACACCCAGAAAAAGCGATGGGGGTGTCTCTGTCTCATAGGGAATCCAGGAGCAATATGGGGGGATCTTTGTCCCGCAGAAAAATAAGACTAATAAATAATAGTGTCCCACTCCAGAAGGAAAAGGAGGTGGGATAGGCCGGCTGGGCCCCAAACCACCTAGCTGGGGGTGAAGAGAGCTCCCAAAATAGCCTGTGAGTCATCAGGGAGAAGCGGCCCTCCCTCCTCCTCCTAGCACTGCCAGTTCTAACCCCGTTGGCATCTCCAGGGCCCCCACAGCCCCATCCCTGGGCCTTACCATCCTGATTCCGGTCCAGACTGTGGAACAGAAGTAGCAGGCGCTGTTCCCGCTCCTGCAGATAGAGGATAAACTCCTCCAGGTCAAGGCCGCCATCTGAGTCAGCATCACCCTCAGGGGAGATGCCCTGGAAGGGGGGAAGGGACAGAAGGAGTTCTGGGAAGCTGCTCCCCCAATCTGGAGGAGGCAAGACAAGCTTATGCCCCAGGAACCCAGGTCCCCCTCCCCCAGCCCTGCACCTAGAGGACCAGGGCGGGGAAGTCGCCCCTTCCCTTGATCATCTCTTTCCTCAATAAGATACCCAAGGCCAAGGTAGGTCTGTGAGGTGGACAGTGGTTGTCCAGTTTTCCTGGTGAGCAAAATGAGGGTCTCCAAGGTCAAGTCACTTGTTCAAGGTTACAGAGCTGGGAAGTGAGTAGGTGGACTTGGGCTCTTGTCTCTGAAAGCCTGTCCTTCCAGGTGTCTCTTATATGAACTTGTCCACATGGCAGTTTCAAGAGCTCTCCTTGGAGACAGCACTGGGCAATGTGGGGCAATGACATCCACACTGAACATCTGCAGGGCCTCTGTTTTCCCATCTGTAAAGTGGGAGGTTGACTGGAGGTCTCAGGGTGCTATGGAGACAGTCCAGTGGCATCTGGGCCTCCAGGTGTGGGGGGACACATGCACGGGCTTGGGGTCAAGTTCCTGCTTTGATAGGTGCATCCCCAGCTGAGGGTGGCATCGGATAGGATTGGGTCCTTGGCTGGGACAGCCTGGGGCATAGAGCCAAGCCCAGGAAAGGACAGGGAAGGGAATGTAAACATAGAGGCTGGGGAGGGTGTGTCTCCTGGAGGTGGGTGCAGGCCTTGTGTCTCGGGTTGTGCAAAGAGTTCAGAGAAGGGTGTGTCCCGGGCAGTGGGCAGGAAAGCGCACGCGGCCCCATTCCCAGGCAGACATCCCTCACCCCGAGGGAGGAGGGGGACGGGTTTGGCAGCCGAAACTGCAGGCCTGGGGCCTCGGTGGTCCTGTCTTGGGCGAGCCCATTAGGCCCGGACACGGGCGGGCAGGGGGGAAGGGGACAAGGACGCCCAAGATAGGAACGGGTCCTGGAGTCCAGCCACAGGCAGTCCCGGGCTGCTCCCGGCGCTCCATTCAGCGGCTCGGGTTACCCTGCGCGGGCTGGGCTCCAGCGCCACGAGCCAGGAGGGGTACCTGTTGTGCTCCGCGGTCCGGGCTGCCCCCGCCCAGCCGGGCCAGTCCCTGGCGCAACTCGTGGACGTCCAGGCGACCATCCTTGTTACTGTCCAGCTCCTCGAAGAGGCGACCCCAGCGCTCACGCCGCTCCGCATCGCCCGGGCCCCCCCGCATGGCGCCCGCCCCGGGGGGAGGGGAGGCCCGGTAGCGGCGGCCTCAGCGGGGGCTTGACAGCTCCCCCTCCCCCCAGGGGCCCCGGAGGGCCAGCTCCGTGGCCGCTGCCACCGCAGCCTCCGCGCTGTCTGCCCGGCTCTGGCACTTGTAGGAGGCGGTGACTGCTAGCCGTCGCCGCCCGCGCCAGAACTTGCGTCTCCTCCGCATTGGGTGGGGGAGGGGATGGGGGCGGAGCTGGGGGGGCGTGTCAGGGATGCTCTCTTATTAGCACAATCTAGGGAGCAACCACGTTCCTTCTGGGAAGGGGGGTTCGAGAGATCAATGATCTCAGGTCTGGTTTCAGAGTTCCGTTTCTGCGTGCCTCAGTTTACCCTCTGCCCAAGGGGACGAGGTAGGGAGATGTCAGGGATTGGGTTACATAATCCCTTTCCACTTGACCTCCCTCCTCTACTAATCCTCCTCAGGAACTAAAGTTCTCGGTTTCCCTAGACGTACTCAGAACCAATTCTGTGCCATCTAGCCCTGCAACAGCCCGCCCGCTCATTTCACATTGCCTAAGCGGCCACAGAAGCAGAAAATCAAGTCGCCTTGCTCTCCCTCCGTGTTTTCTTCCTGCCCGCGCGCCTCCTTTCTCGGTCCCACTCAGACTGGGAAACGGAAGATCAACACGTGGCGCGGCTGCAAAGTCGGTTTCCTATTGGCCAGAGCCGCAGGAGCTGTGCCCTGCGGTCCCGCCTTGCTCACCCATCTAGGCGGGGCCTCCCCACTGACCCCACACTGCCTTGGGCCCCGCGGCCCCCGCTCGCCTAGCAGTCTTAAAGGGGCCTCTGCCGGAACCAGACGCCGAGCAGACTGCTTTCTCCGGATCGGCCTAGGGGGGGAATCTCAGAGTCCCAGGAGCGGCTGGGGATAAGGACCGCGTTGCTGGAAGCGGGGCCCCAGCCTGTCGCGCTCGCTGCACCTGCCAAATGTCCCTCCCACTAGTTTAGGGCGCAGTTTCTCGATTCGCCATTAGGGGGAGGAGCGCCCAGATCTTTTGACAGCGAATAATAATAATAGCTAACGTTGATTCATTGCTTTGCACAAGCCTTGGCCTTTTACTCACCCCTCGCGTCGTCCTCGCTAAAACCCTATAAGGTAAGTGGGACTGGCTTTCCCACTTCACAGGTGACGAAACAGGAGGTTAAGCCGCTCACCGCAGTCCACATGCCCAGGAAGGGGCAAAGCAGACATTTAACTGGACCTGGGATTCTTACCCAACATCGCTCTATGCCCTAGAAGGGATTAATTTTCCCTTAACCATCACTCTTCTCTCTAGAGTCCCCAGGAGGGGGTCGTCTTATTATCTTCGTCCTTTATCCAAAGGACGATCGTGAAGGCACACATGGTTCCCACTCAGCTTCTGACAGGTGTGCTCAAACGAGCCTCTTGTAGAGGGTCCCCTCACAGACGTTTTCATTCACAGGTCGCCCTTGCAGGTGCCGTACAGATATTTTCCCACGGAGATGCCCCAAACAAATGTTTTCTCACAGATGCATCCTTGACAGGTGGACCTCAAAACACATGAGCCCCCCCCCCAAAGATGTGCTTCAATGTGAGTGTGCCCCATGCAGGCGTGCTCAGGTCTTCCTCTCGTGTGAACTCAATTCAATGCAGCTGTTTCCTTCACCTCACAGGTATGTTTCTCAACAGGTGTTCCTCCACCCAGGAATGCGTTATAGAGCCTCCCCTGCCATACGTGTGTTCCATTTAATCATTCACCCGTACGGGGCTCTTTCCATATAACTGGGTCCCCTACAGGTGTACTTAAATGCAGTTATGTCTCGTACAGGTGTTTCCAATACCTTTACACACAGGAATTCCTTCTGCAAGTCTTGTTCATTTCATAGGTGAGCCATGCAGATGCATTCCCCAAATAGATGTACCCCGCGCCAAAGTGCCTCAGCCAGGTGTTTGTAACCATGCAGGTGTGTTCTATACAGCTGTTTTCCACACAGGTAGGCTTCCATTCAGCTGTACTCCAAAGAGATGTGATTCAAAGCAGATGTCTCCCATGGGTGTTCTTACACATCCGTGCAAATTTCTTTACACGTTTGTTCCCATGCAGGTGTGTCCCACACCAGTGTTTTTTCATTAGAGGCTCCCCATCCCGGTCTGCCCCAGACAGGAGTGCCTCACACATCGGTGACTCCATGCCCCGTGTGTCTCCACACCTGGACGATTCTACAGATGTACCTGCAGTGCAGGTGAGAGGCCCCTTTTACACCTGCGCGCTTCCGCTCCTTTTCACTCCTCCCGATTATGAGATTGGGTTCCCGTTACAGGTGCGTCCGCGGCGCGGACCCGCCCCCGCTTGGCCCCGCCCTTTCATCTAGGCTCAGGTGCACAAGCCGGAAGTGCGCTCGCCTCCAAGGTGAGTGACTAAACTTTCCGGGTCACGTGAGCCGGCGGAGCTGGAAGAGTCCGACCGAGCCACTGACCAACGGATCGAGGGTTCGAGCGAGGGACCGGGATCGGGACCCTGAGCGGGGTCGAAGACGCCCGGGCCAGGTAGGGAGGCAGGTCACGCGGCTGGGCCTGCCACCCCTCCCCCCTTCCCTTCCCTTCCCCTTTCCCCAGCCCAGGAACGCGCCGCCCCGAGTTAATCTTTAATCTCTGACCTCTGGCGGCGGGGGGCGGGGCGGGACTCCTGGGTGGCCGGCGCGGGTCGCCCCTCCCAGGGGCCTGCGCTCGGGTCCGGCCCCCTCCCCCACGCTCCGGCCTTTCTCCTTTCCAGCCCCCAGGTGCGGGGTCGAAGGTACCCCCCACCCACCGCCCGAGATGCGGTAGGAGCGGCGCGCGCGACAAGCCCCGTCCCCGGTGCCACCAGCCCGTCACCCGGCCCATGGCGAGCCCCGGCCTGGGGCTGCTCTTGGCACTCGGCCTGCCGCTGCTGCTGACCCGCTGGGGCCGGGTCTGGGGGCAAAGTAGGTACAGGTCGGGGGCACTGGGGGTCCGGGCTTAGAAGCGCTGGGTGCCTGGGACGCTGAGAGGGCAAGAACCCAGGAGCGGGCATGCGATGCCTAGGTCTGGGGTAGGGCTGGGGGCGTAGAATTTCTGTGTCCTTCCTTGGACGGTTGGAGTTGGTCTAGGAGAATTCCTGAGTTGGGCGGAATTGTGAGCTGCCGGGAGAAGAGGCCTGCGGTCCGGAGCCTCAGTAGGGTTGAGCAGTTTGGGGGAAATGGAAGCCAGGAGGAGGCCTGCCTGGGGCTCCAAGCCCAGGTGGAGCAGGTTGACCAGAGGTGGGGACGCTGCCTTTCAGCCCTGTATTCCAGTTTCGGGAGGCTGGGGGGAGGTGTGAGTCAGACACTCCAGGGAAATGCAGGATCCGCCCAGATCCTGAAGGGCAGAGGGAGGGCCGGAGAGGTGAGGCTGGGGTTGGGGGGAGGGTTGGGCTTCCCCACACCATCCATTATAATAGCCCCCAACTCTGCGCAAACTACAGACAGCTGTTGGCTGATTACTCAGCGCTGGGCTCCCCTGGGTAAGGGATGCCCTGTGGGGCAAAATCAGCGGGGCCAGCCCCTGTGTGGAGGCCGCTCACAGAATGAAAGACTCAAAAGGGCAGAGTTCTAACGAGGGGAAATGGCCCAGGAAGATGCACATGCTTCCAGATGGGAAGGAATAGATGGGGATTCATTTATCTTCTCTACCACCGCCCTGCAGCACCGGACCCCACTGTAAGTGGGAACAGCACAATTACACCCTCTGGCCCCAGCCCTGGCTCCAATGGGGCCCTGGTGAGTTGGGGTATATGTGGGAGAAGAGCAGCAGGGATTTTATTCGGGAGGCCCCCTTATGGCAGGTGGGAGGGCCTAGATTCCCAGAGGCGGCAGGCTGCACAGTGGGGGAGGCACTGGAGAACCCTAAGTGGGAGAGACCAGAATATCAACATGGCAAATGGGGAGACCGAGAACCCCAGGAAGGGGATGGGCAAGAACACCATGCCTGGCGGGACTCCCCTGGCGGTCTAGTGGTTAAGACTCCGCGCTTCCAATGCAGGGGGCACAGGTTGGATCCCTGGTTGGGGAACTAAGACACACACGCGCGCACACACACACACACACACACACACACACACAAAGAATACCATGCTTGGCAAGTGTAGGGGGTTCAGGAGCCCCCTATGCCTCTCAGGCAGGGGGAGGAGGGATCTAGGAGCCTAGATGCGGCAGGCGCTTGGGAGAAGGACCCCAGACATGGCAGGTGGGGGAGCCTGGGAACCCCAGATGTGATATGATGGGGGTCAGGAACCCTGAGTGGAGGAAGCCAGTCACCAAAAGTGGTGGGTGCGGGGGGAGGGGATTAGCGTTTCCAGATAATTCTCAGGCGGGGGTGGACGGGATGCCCAAGTTCAGGTGGGTCACACCTGTGTCCCCCCCCATCCCCCGCCAACAGTCACAGGAGGCCACCATTGCTATCATCGTGGTCTTCTCCCTCCTGGCCGCCCTGCTCCTGGCCGTGGGCCTGGTACTTCTGGTGCAGAAGCTTCGGGAGAAGCGGCAGACGGAGGGCACCTACCGGCCCAGCAGCGAGGAGCAGGTGGGTGCCCGAGCTCCACCGCCTCCCAACCTCAAGCTACCGCCTGAGGAGCGGCTCATCTGAATGCTGGGGCTGGCCACAGCTGCCTCCACTGCTCAGGACTGCCCGGCGCTCAGCTGCACAGAGCAGCTGCCACCGACACACCAGCCTCTGATGGCTCCGGAGGACTTGGGGGGGCCACGGGGCACCTGCCGGGCGGGCTCTGCGAAGCATGCCGCCTCTGCTTGACTCTGCCTGCAGTTGGGGTGCCGGGGCTGCGGACCTGCCTCCCCGCTTGCTGCACCATCAGCCATCTGTCTGCCTGCCACACAGGCCCGACACCCCCCCTCTCCTTTCCTTTCAGTTCTCCCATGCAGCCGAGGCCCAGGCTCCCCAGGACTACAAGGAGACGGTGCGGGGCTGCCTGCCCATCTAGGTCCCCTTCCTCTACCCAACACCCTTCCTGGCTGTGTGACCTTGGGGGAAGGCAGAGCCCTCTCTGGGCAATCAGACACACCCAGCGCTTAAGAATAGAAGGGAAGAAGGTGCTTCAAAGACTCTGCCTTTGAAGGCAAGGGAGACTGAGGCTGCTTACTTTATATATATCTATACAATGGGTAGAGTGATGTAATAAAACCTTTTTGTGAACTGGTGGGGGCAGGAGTTAGCCTAGATGGAGGAGACACATAGGCTGTTGAGAGATGAATGTAAGGTCTCAAGGGTCCTAGGGGCTGGGAGGGCTTCCTGGAAGGGAAAGGCTTTTAGCTGTACCTAAGAGCCAGCCGGAGGCTGCCTTGGGAGGGAAGGTGGGGAGCCGGGTGGGTGTCTGAGCAGAAACAGGGCTCCCAGGTAAACCCACCAGGAAGAACAAGCCTTGGGCTCTTGCAGCTTTATTGAGGGGCCAGAGTCTCCTCCAGACCCCTGATGCTTAACCTTCAAAACACTTTTTAAGCTCAGCAACCCTGGGCCGGCTCCTGGCCTGGAGCCCCCGCCAGTTCCTAGCAGGAGGATCAGGGGACCTGGGCGCTCCTGGCTCCTCGTGGGGCTGGAGGTGCGTGCGCTCTGGGAGCAGGACCTCTGAAGGCTGGGCTCTGGGGTTCTCTGGGGAACCGGGATCCGAGAAAGAATCAAGGACTTGGGATGTCCAGGTAATATCCGAGTTGGGCTTTGTGGGGGTCAGAAGTGGGGGGCTTTCTCGAGGGCTGGGTGCTGTGGAGAGCTGGGAGCAGGGACTCTCCTGGGCTGTGGGATCCTGGGTTGCCTCGTGGGGAGGGGAGAGGCGTAGAGGCTGGGGCTCTGTGAGAGAGGAGCTGGGGTCCCCTTTGCTGCTTGGGTCTGCAGAAGCTGTTGAAGACTGGGACGGAGAAATGATTTCTTGGCTGGCCTCTGAGGGCAGCTGGGAAGTGGGGTGCTTCGAGGTGCTCGTGGCATCTGAAGGCTGGGGGGTGTGCAGAGGCGGCAGGCCGACAGAAAGGGACAGGGGCTGGGGCCCTGGTGGTTTCTCGTCATCTGCTTGCCATCTCCATCTCCCTGGTATGTCAGGCTGGGTGGGGATGGAGAGATGGGCACGTTGCTGGCCTTTAAATGAAGGAGGGGCCGGCAGGTTGGATGAGCAAATGGGGGAGGGCTGGGGGGGCTCTCACCAGGCTGTGGCAGCAGTCCAAACTCTGGCTTGGCCGCAGGCTGCTGTTCCGGGTGGTTGTCACGCTCAGACTATCCAGAATCTCGCTCAGCAAATCCAGTTCTTCTCCGGACCCAAGGAAGCTGCCATCCAGAGCTTCCTCTGCCAACGGTCCCTGGGCATCCTCAGGGCTCAGAGACGGTGTCCTGGGTGAGGATGGGCAGCCTCAGGTATCTGCCCCAGACCAGCTGCTCTGAAGGGTCTGGAGTTTTGGGGCCCACTTCCCCAGGAGTCCCGGCTCCCCACTTCCAACATTGCTCCCTCCCTCTGCCTTGGAGTCTTACTCCTCCCCCAGGGACTCAGAAGGTCTCTCTTCCCGCTGGAGTCTCCTGCTGGGGCGAAGGGGCCGGTTCTGCAAAGGACAGATTTGAGGGCTGGGGCCTCAGGAGCTACAGAATCAGGGGGTTCTATGAAGGGGGGAGTGGGCGCCCCATTTTGGGGGTAGTCGAGATGTCTGGCTGGAGACGGGATGGGAGAAGGACTTGGTGATAAGTCCAGGTACATGCGTGGGCGTGGGGTTGGGGCTCTTACCTCTCCAAAGTGCTGGGTGATAGGCAAGCGCTGCTGCAGGCAATCTGAGCGGCTGGTGAGGGAAGGGGCCCTCAGGGAGCCCCCCCTCTGCAGGCCAGAGTCCCCATCCTAGGAAGAGGGTGGGTGAGCCAGGAGCCCCTCCCCCCGCTGCCCCGCGGCGTTGGCTACTGGCTTTACCTTGTACGTCAGAAGGCTCTGCACACCCTTCAAGCCACTCTTCGCCTACGGAGGAACCGAAAGAGACTGAGAATCCAGAGTGATTTGACCCTGGACATTTGAGAACTCAGCCCTCCATCCGCGAAGACACTTTTGTCTTGCCATCTGCTCCTGTGTGTCTCAAAATACATTCAGGTTCCCCCGGTACCCCCTAAGAAGTCAATACCAACTTGCCCCTTTGACTAACACAGAAGGAATGTCACTGGAGGAGATAACCCCCAAATGAAACAGGGAATGGCAAAGCCAGAACGTCGTAAAAGTGGGTCAGTGTTCAAAAGCCGAGCAAAGAATAAAATCCAGCAAACGATTGCGAGCTGTGGAAGTTGGTCCCAGGAAAATCTGGGGCTTGGGAGAAAAACCAACCACAAGGGCAGAAGCTGGGATTGTGGTGTCTCAGGACAAAAGATGTTTGCCTAAGAACCTTGGTTGTCATTTTTAAATAGGAAAGACCTGATGCGACAAAAATGAATGAACACAGTCAATGGAAAATAAAAGTAGGAAACATGGTAAATGATTTAACTGCTGGTTTAGTTCTGATAAATTGTGTGTGCTCTAAACGTGGGGTTAAACCGTCCTCTGCCTTTGTCACCCTGGTAAGTGGCCTGTCCAGCCCAGCCTCACCGAGCGGTACATGTTTCTGACGGCTGGTTGGGTCTTGGCCTTGACGGAATGCAGGAGGGCACCACCACCTTTCTGGGGAGAGAAAGCCAAGGAAGAGAGGCTTGGGCACGTGGGGTTATCGCAGACCCCACCTGCCCACCCCTCCCTCTCTGAGTCTTGATTTCTTCACCTCTATCTATAAATGAGCATAGTAGGGACGGTGGTAGGTTTGATTTAATCCCACAATAAACACTAAAGTGTTCGGTGTTACTACCTTTAGGTTGTCTGCCCAGAGCTGGTAGGAGCGAAGGGTCCCTGGAGAGAGGAGAGAGGAGAGAGCATTGCCAGGGTGGGCAGGCTCAGACTGGGCCACAGGTGTGTGTGTGTGTGGGGGGGCTCCGGGGCCAGGTGCAGAGCTCACCTGAGGAAGCCCCGCTACAGGTGATCTCCTGCTCAAAGAGGTCTGAGAAGCCTTCTCCCGTGTTCAGCTTCTCCAGTCGGCCTTCGATGAACTGGGGGTGGGGCAAAGGGTCAGAGAATCAGGCTACCCCAAACATCTGAATGCGAGGACTGGGGATCTGCTCGCCCTCAAGACATAGAAGCCATCCCCGGCCCCTCCAGAAACCCAACCTTAGGTCCCAGGAGTCTGGAGCCCACCTCAGGAAGCCAGAGGTTCACCGTCTCCCCGCCCGTCCCCACCCCAAGTCAAGATCTGTCTTCAGGGACCAGGCCCTGCTCCTCTCAGGGTCGGAGGAGTAGGACTCTGCCACTCCAGACAGGCCCCCCTCCTCTCAGTGACCTTGGAGGAGGTCGACCCCACCTCCAGGGACGCTGGAAGCCAGCCCGCACTGAAGGACCCTGAAGTTCATCCCACGTTCTTCCAAGAACCCAGGAGTCCGGTTCCACCTCCCCCGCTACGTCCCTAGAATCCAGGAGTCCAGCCTTCTCTCCCTCCACCCTCGACCCAGGAGGTTCCCGCCTTAGGGACTCAATAATTTCGTTCCATCCCAACCTCCTCATGGACCTAGAGGTAGATCTTATCCCTGGGAACTCAGGTCAGGGGCTCCCATTTTTATGGACCCAAGAGTTCAGTCCTGTCTCTCCCACCCCGGAGACCCTGGAGTGGGGGGATCCGGCCGGGCCAACTCTCGCCCCGCCCACTGGGTCCAGGCGTCCGCCCCTCCAGCCCCGGCTTCGGCCTCCCGGATCCGGGCGTCTGCGCCCCTAGCCTCGCCCCTCCGGCCCCAGCCCCGCCCTCCGGATTCTGGCGCACCTGTTTGAACAGCTGCAGGTGCACAGCCCGCCGGTGGAAGGCCTGCAGCGGCGCCCCGGGTTTCTGGGCCAGGAAGGCTTCTTCACTGAAGGTTACAGGCTGGCCCTGGAAGAAGGACTCGGATTCTAAGCTCCCCGCGGCTCTCCAGGATCCCTTATTCTGCTTCCCATATTCTACCTTACATCTGTGTAGCAAACATTGATGGAGCGCCTCTGTGTGCCTGATGTCCTGCAAGGCCTCGTGGGCTGCAGGGAGGACTTGGGCTTTTACCCCGAGGGAGGTGGGAGCCCTGGGAAGGCGGTGGGCAGAGGAGGGGGCGGGGCCTGACTCAGACGCTCCCAGGTGACCTCTGGCGGCTGCACGGAGGTCAGACTGCGGAGCGCGGAGGGTGGGAGCCCGCGAGAGGGGACTCATGGTGACGGCGAGCGCGCTGATCCAGGCAACCAACAATGGGGACCAGGCCGTGGTGGAGACAGAGGAGGGGGAGAAATGGACAGCTTCCGGCTGTGTTCAGGGCAGAGTCGGAAGCAACATCAGATTCTCAGATAATAGAACTCCCTGACCATGTTTTTATAGAATAGTTGTGAAAAACTGGGGAGGAGGGGATGTCAGGGTTGAAAGTCAGCAGATCAGAGTCCTGGCTTCAACACTCACCCGCTGTGGGGCTTCCAAGCCTTGGTTTCCTCATATGTAGAATGGGACCATAAGAGTATCCGTCTCATAATACTGTTGTGAGCATTAAGTGAAATAATAATTGCAGCGGTAAAACCTATCATTTATCCATTGTGATGTGCCAGGCAGTAACCGAGCATTTTGCTTATGTCCATTTACAGACTCACGCGACCCTTTTGGGTGGGTACTGTTGGGATCCCATTTTACAGATGAGCAAACGGAGGCACAGAGTAAGCACTCCATAAACGCTAGGTATTCTTATTCTGAATCCTTCAGGGACCCACGGGGTCTCTCCCTCTCCGTCCCCGAAGCTCACCGGGCCGCAGACTAGCGCATCGCGGTACCCCCCGAAGAGCAGGGCCTGGGCTTTGAGGAAGAGACGGGACACCCCTTCCCCGGGGGCCAGCGCGACCTTCCTTAGCCGCAGCCTCAGCAGAGACACCTGGAGGACAAGGGGGCAGCGCTGAGCAGGCGGGTGCGGAGCCTCGTCTCCCGGATGCGGCAGGAGGGTGGAAGGGGGTGTCACTGACCACATCTGGGGGCAGTGCCTGCACGTCGTCGAAGGGCGTCTCCAAGGTATTGGAGTCCACGTTCATCATCACGACGTCCTCCAGAGCTTTCTCCCGCACTCTCTGTGTTAGGGAGTTGGAGTGGCGATGGCCGCTCAGAGCCCGAGGATCCCCGACAGGGGAGGATACCTGGGGGTGCAGGGGGGCACTCCACCCAACCTTGCCATCCAGGTCCGTTCCCACTTACCTCGACGAGACTGGCGTGCACTCCGATGAGGTAGGGCATGGGCGCGCTGCGGAAGACCGAGGGGGCCGGTCATGCAGGCGCCGCCCCCGGGTGCCCAGGACCCTAGGCCTCTTCCCCAAGCCCTGCCCCTCTCCAGCCCCTGCCCCTCACCAGCAGTAGTCCAGCAGATGCGGCGGCAGCGTGGGGATCAGCACGTGCTCCCAGCGCATGGGGTACAGGAGAGCGCAGGACGCGTGGACACATGAAGTCAGCTGGGGATGGGTGGGGGACC